AGTTGCCCACGGGAAGGTGGAGGGGGCAGGAGGGCTGAGGCACGGCAGAGCCGCTCTCCCAGCAGTGCCCTCCACCATGAACCAGGGAAGGAGACATCACAGGCGGCGTGCGACTGGGATGCGAGTGGCATCGGCGTTTTCCAGTAACTGTAGGGGCTGGTGTCAGATGTGCTGACCGGACAGGCGTTGGCTGGATGGTCAGCCGGCCATTGGAAGCGCCCGTTCGCCTTTCTGCTAATTAAATTGCAGTTGATTTGCAATCAAATCTACTATGAGACAAGGGAGCTCCGGGTGGGCTCGGGAGCGGCCAACGGGCACTGCTCTGCGCGAAGCACAGCCTGACGCTGCGCTCCGGCCGGGTTTGCCGGTTGGCAACACCGGTGGCAAACAGGCTGTGGCACAGGTGAACGCGGGACACGTCGGAGCCGGGCAGCGCCGTGTTTGCAGTAGGGGCAGGGCTGGTGCCGTGCTGTGGAGCTGTGAACTTTGAGACGTGCGCCAGGCACCGGGCACCCGTCTGCTGCCAGGCCGTGAGCGGGGACACCCGCGGCGGGTGGTTGCGGGAGAGGGGTGCAGAGCGGGGCACAGCTGGCTCACGGGACCCCTGCATGAGGCTGACCCCTTCCCTCCTCGCTCCTACCACTGTCCTGCCCTCCAGCACTCGCACCGCTCGGGTGTCAGGGACACCGGCGACCCGGGACTGCACGGCTTACCTTGAGAAGATGTTTCCTCTCTTCCCACCAGGAGTGTCTGGCAGCACCAGTGGTTTGGGACACCGGGGCAATATCAATGTACTCCTGGAAGGCACCTGGGAAAAGATCCCCTGTTACAGCAGAGTCCATAGTTGCTCCACGCAGCCCGTCGGGCACGGTGCTTTGGGATACTGCGGGAGCAGGGAAGCTGTGAGGGAATACATTGTGCTGAGTCCTGTGCTTCTGCCCGACCATGGACAATCCCCTGGAGGGCGGCTCCAGCAGCATCCCCATGAAAAGGACCCCAGACCTCCAGGGGCCAGGACTGGAGAGCAGGTCTGAAGTTGCCTTTGAACTTCCTGGCAGCTGGAGACACCCAGAGGGGTGGTCCTGCGGCAGAGCTGGAGCAGCACGGTGGGCTCTGCAGCCAGAGTGGCTCAAAGACACCATTAAGCAAGAGCCTGAGTCCAGGAATATGCTGGAGTTTGGATTTTTAGCCTGTGCTTTCCTTTTCTAGCTTGTTTTCCCCACTTATGCAACCAAGAACGTACCTCCTGGCTTTGCTGGATGACCTTGGTTTCCTCTCTACAAGCTCATCCAGATTTAAGAGTGACTTAAGGAACACTAGCAAGTGTTAGGTGTGTTGTTTCTCCGAGCTGATGCTCAGAGACCTGCCACCTCGGAGAAATTTGGGAATCTGGAAGGGAAATTTCCCCCCAGATGCACCAATCTGCAAAGGTCAGTGTGGGGCCAGAGGACATCTACATCTTCTGGGAGGGGAGAGTGATGGGGATGCTGGCCAGAAGAACCAGGAGCACCTCTCTGCTGCAGCACGTCTCCTTGCCCCTCTGACTCAACCCTCAACCCCTCTCCCCACTTCCAGCACATGCAAGTGTGTTTTGGACCCCAAAGGCTCCATCCTTCTATGTCACCGTAACAGCCGCGGCCGTTCCCGGTGCTGCCCGCGGGATCTGGCAGCAGCCGGCAGCGCGGGGCACAGCTGCAGCAGCGGAGGAGGGAGGGCTGCGAGCACACTGAGGGCACACGAGTCAGGAGTAGGCATCTTCCCTGGTGTCGGTCACGATTGTAATTAATTTGCAGGTGGTCAATAATGAACAAATAATTTCTATGAGCCTCCGGTGCTCAGCTGGCCATGTCCAGCTGGGTTCCTCGTTACCAGTTCCGTTTGCGTATCTCCATGGCCCACAGAGCCACAGGAGAATTTTGGTTGGAAGGTACCTCAGGGGTCGCTGGTCCTGCCCTCTCTCAGAGCAGGGCCAGCTTTAGTTAGGTCAGGCTGCCTGGGCACTTGTCCACCTCACTTTGAGTACCTCCAAGGATAGGGTTTCCACCACATTTCTGGATGCCTGCTCCAGTGCAGGACCACCTTCATGATGAAGAACTTTCTCCTTTTGTCCTACTGGAGTTCGCCACGTTGCAGCTTGTGCCTGTTGCTCTTCCTCCTATCGCTGAGCACTCCGGGATGAGTCTGGCTGTGTCTTCTCCAGATCCTCCCCAGGCAGCTGGAGACAGCAGCCCGATGTCTCCTTCACCTTCTCTTCTACAGGCTGGACCAGCCCACCTCTCTCAGCCTCCCCACGTACGTGCTGTGCTCCAGGTCCTGGCCAGCTTCGTGTCCTCCATTGGGCTCTCTGTGGTTTGTACTGGGGAGCCCCGAACTGGACCCGGCTCTCCCAAGGTGGTCTCACAAGTGATCCCAAGCCGATGGCTGCCCTTCGCTAACCCACGCCAGGATGCACCTGGCTGCCTTTGCGGCAAAGGCACTCTGCTGACTGATGTTCAGCTTGTTGCCTGCTGGGCACGCAGGGCTTTTCCTGCAACGCTGCCATTGCCCAGTCTGCCCAGTGGCACAAGGTTGGCCCAGCCCAGAGGCAAGACTTTGTGTTTGCCTTGGCTGAACATCAGGGGGTCTGTGCTGTCCCGTTCTGGGGTCTGCTGAGGCCTTTCTGAACAGCAGCTGCAGCGTAACAACCTGTCCCCAGAGCTTTATTGTCCCCAGGAAGCACATCGTCACTGATACTGGCATTGCTGGGACTGATGCATCTTATAGAATCATAGAACCATGGAATGGTTTGGGTTGGAAGGGACCTTCAAGATCATCCAGTTCCAATCCCCCTGCCATGAGCGGAGGCACCTTCCACTACACCAGTTGCTCAAAGCCTCATCCAGCCTGGCCTTGAACACTTCCAGGGATGGGGCATTTCAGTAGCTGCTGACTCTGGCAGCCTGGGAGGTCCGAGCCATATCACCTCCCACCTTCAGGCCACCAGAGACTTTCCATCGGCCATGTTGTGTCAGCCAGTCACGGAGCCAGGGTATAAAACTACAACCTGAGATGATCCAGGTTGGAAACAGCCACACACTTTCAACAACCTTCAACACCTGGGGAAGTGGGAACGTCCGAAGCCAGTTGCGTTTCAGGTGCTGGTGCCTCATGGAGCTGTGGCCAAAAGGGCATCTCGCTGCTCCAGTAGCACTGAGATTTTTCTTCACTTTTAATGGGTCTCAGTTGGTGTTGTTAAAAGTTTCTGAACTTTCACAGTTTGAACTTCTGAAAAGGCTCCAGGGAACTTGTGCCGCTGCAGTGTCTGGAGACAGGAGCTATATTTTCCCTTTCCCAAACCAGGGAGCAGACCCAGTGTTTATTCCTCTGTGGGCCTCAGACCAGTGCAGAGGTGTCTACAGGCAATAATTGGCAATTTAGAGGCGACTCACTCCCGACCTGTGGGAGTTCAAATCCTTTTTGCCCAGGCTGCCAAGAGCCGATGCCTGTGGCCCACACCCCGGCCAGGTGCTGTCCCTGAGGCTGGGGGGTGGGAAAGGCTCAGCTGGGCTGGCACCCGCCAGGTCCCACGTCTGGTGGCACTTGGGGAACCCTGTGGTCTCACTCTACACCATCCAAGACAGACGGACAAGACCTGATGACTGCGTGTCATCGGAGTGACTCCCGCTGCGGTGACCGCACCACCAGCAGGTGATGGTGGTGCCACCACCTGCCATGCACAAAGGGACGTCCACCAGGCTCTAACGCACATTTGCTCCAGGCAGGTGGAATGGGCACCCACGGGCTTGGGTTTTTGGGATGGACAAGCACCCGCAGGTCCTGAGCAGCGAGCGGGACCTGGTTCACGGGCTGGAATCAAAACGCCATTCCGTGACAGCCAGGGCCGTGCTCAGTACCAGTGACGATCCGATACTGTCGCATTTAAAAGGGGAAAAAATGGAGAGTCAAGAGGATTAGATATCACATATGGCACGGAGATTGTCTGGAAAGACCAGCTTAGCTTCACTCTGAGCACTTAAGCTGATATCAGCAAACACAAACCCTAAACCACGCTCCAAAGGGACAGCCCCAGTGGACGCCAGCACGATGAAATCAATTTAGAGAAGCTGATCGGAAATAAGATAAACGTTCTTAAACTTGCTGAAGCTGCATCCCCACGAGGACAGTACAATGACCCCATGCAAACTAACTGGCAACAATGCAACACAAACAACGAAGACACCAGGATTTGTCCCCTTGCTCCTCTACTCTGAGGAATGACACAGGCACTCACATGTATTCCTCCCTTCAAAAGCACCGGCAGCAGGAAAAATTCACGGTGAGTGTTCAAAGGAAATAAGCTGATAGAAAAGTGAAGGAACTCCGTACCCATCTTGGCTGAGGAGGAGCTTTGGTGCATGCCCAGGCTCGGCGGTCTCTTTTGAGATCACTTGAAAGGTCTGTCCTACCGACATGGAAGTGCACGTGAGTAGTTAGACAGAGGAGATGACTCTTCCATTCAAAGTGAATCTGGTTTGAAACTCAAACTTTTCACCGCAGCACGTCGTCTGCTGCTCAGACTCACCTTTACTACCTCTAGTTTTCACCAGAAGACGCAAATCTGCTGGTTTTTGAAGAGGCGGCTGGATGTAAAGGAGCTACAGACAAGTAGGTCTACTCTGTGATGTGAGCAGACACTCACAAAAGCTGGGATAAACGGCAGACCTGGTTGATGTGTGGACAAATCACATCACAGGGAAGACTGAATCCAACTTTTGCACAGGAAAATCACACCTCAGAAATACTCTTTCTGGAGGAGCCAAAAAGATATGGGTGTTGAACATCCCCTGGTCAGCTGGGAAGGGTTTTCATCAGAGCTTGCAGGGGACAAACTGCCACAGGCTGGGGAGGAGGGTCCTCACTTGGATAAATGAGTGGCTGGGAGAGAGGAAAAGGGAGGCAGCTCACCCGGGGAGCTCACTGTGCCGACACGTCTGGTAAAGCATCTCATCCACCTGCAGTGCATGCCAAAGGTGGCAGCATGAGGACAAGTTAGGAGAAGAACGGGGTACTGTGTAAATCTAAGCTGTACCCACACCTTCTCAGCTGGGTGGAGGTCCAGGTGTGGTCACTCAGCTCCAGCAGGAACATGGTCCAGGGGAGGGAGAGAGGAAGATGAGAGGCACAGCGAGGAGCCTTGTTAAAGACTGAAGATCTGGAACGGCATGAAGAGGATGAACAGAGAAGATACAGCCTCACATCACCAGCAAGCACCGCAGCCATTGGCTGGGCAGGTCCTCATACATCGAAGGCTGGTCCAGCCCTTCCCCCAACACCCCTCAGCTCTCTCCAGCAGTCAGCTGGGACCCAGGCTGGGGCTTATCTCCGCTGCACCCACCCTTCCTGCCCATCTCACCAACGTGCTCCTGCAGAACCTGGCGAAGGAGCTGCAAGTGAAACCACTGCAACGAGCGGAGGGGAGTGCAGAGACGGCCGTGAAGCTCCTTGCTGCAGGATGCCACCAGTGCCGAGAAGGTGCCTCACCCCAGGAAGCTCTTAGAAACATTCAGGGAAGAAAAGTCCCACGTCATTGAATATGCAATGACATCTGGGCAGGCTTCCTGGGGGATAACTGGAGGGCAGGGACAACCCTCTTTTCACCCCGTCCCTGTGTGCTTCTCCTTGCCCCTGCCGCTGCCGTTGTTGGAGGCAGGTGCTGGGACAGAGGCTGTGCCGTCCCACGAGCGTGGGATGAGCAGCAGGTACAGGGACAGGCTTGATGGGAGGGCTGAGGGATCATGGGGGGCTGCAGTGGGGACCCCCTCGTCTGCTCTGCATGGAGGGGACACACACCAGAAAAGATCTGAAATCGCAGCCCGTGTGCCTCCTGCTCCAGAGCACGGGTGGAAAACCTCCGGGCAAAAGGAGGAGTGGAAAATGCCAGCGGCAAAGAGAAATGATCTCACCAGTGCCTGGCAGGGCGATGCCTGCGCACGGCAGGAAGGAAACATCTGGCTGGAACACGGCGTGGAGACACGAGGACTCCCCGCCACAAAGCCCGCGGTGAAGGGCGCTGCCGGCAGCGGGATGCTCTCACCCGCACCAGCACGTGTGCCCAAAACACGCCTCGAGGCAGAGCTGCGGGTGGGCCCCGTGCTCCTGCGAGCGCGGCAACCGCCCAGCTGCTCCAGTCCCAACCGCCCGACTGCTCCAGTCCCAACCGCCCAGCTGCTCCAGTCCCAACTGCCAGGGAG